TTATTAATGCTAATTTTATTATTACAAAATTAATAATTATTATTTCTGAATAACAAATATTCATGATAATGCAAATATTTAGATACAAAATATATCTTGGCAAAAAATTTTCCATAATTATAGAATATATCCACTTATAAAAATATATAATTATATATTAATACATATATATATATATATATATAATAATTGCACATAACTATATCAATACTCTACATATAATTATATTATTTTATATATGTAATTTTTACGAAACATCTGAAATAGATCTCTCAGAATGCGTTGGAATTTATATTTTAAAAAATTTTGCGTGTTCAGCAAAAATTCAGATATTTGCACAATAATATAATAAATTTATTTATCGGTTGTAAAGGATCATTCATTATCAAATATTATTTTAGTAAAAATTTCTATGAAATATACAAAATAAATTTTTTTTAATAATCATAAGATTTGCGTCCCAATCATTCAACATCTTTTCAATCTCAAAATAAATATTAAAGCAACTTTAAGTGGTTAGCAAAAAAAAAAAAACTTTTCGTTTCGCAAAAAAGATCGCGAGAATCATCTGCCGAGATACGGCGCGCAAGTCGCGCGGCGCTTCTCGCCAATTAACGATCGACGAGTTTAAGGAAACTAGCGCGAAATCCTGGCCGAAGATTTCGGTCAAGCTCCTAATAACCCACTTCCAGTGGGCGCATGCCCGTACGTGTATTTGACGTTGCTTTAAGGGTGAAAACGACATGTAGCCGCGCCGGCAGGTGGTGGCTTTCGCGCGCGGAATAAAGTTGAGGGTGAACGAAAGGAGATTTGCGCGTGACGATTCGGTCGACGATCGTCGGAATACCGTTGTCGCAAATAGCGAAGAAGATCGACGTGCGATCAGGCGATCCCCACGGGATATCTTTCCTCGGGATCTCTTGAGAATCTGGGTCAAGGATGTGTCTCGCCGTAATGCTTCAATCGAGCGCTGTGCGTTTCGTAGTTGATCATCACCGATGCTTTTCCAAAGATGATCGGCTTGAAAAGCGCCAATGCTCATCCTCGAAATTCAGAAGAGGATCTGCTGTGGGATTCCTTTCGGAAAATTGAAAAGATCCTGGCAAGTATCTTGAATCGTGAATAAAGAATTCCAAAGAATTTTGTTTACGCTAAAGACTGAAAAATTTAAGATTGCTTATTTTAAAAATTGAATGAATCATACCTTGAGAAAAATCAGGTGTGAACGCATAAATCTTTTATCTTAACACGTTATGATATATATTGAAACATAAATATTGGATAGTTATGCGTTTACAGATGTAACGAAGGTAGAATAAATCATTTTATCTCTACGATACTATTTCGAATTATATTTAAGATAATTTTAAATTTGGTTTCAGATAGTTTTAATATTTAGGGTTAAATATAAATCCAATATAATATTGGACTATATATTGTTAGAAGATAAAAATTTCTCAATTATTTTCTTCCTTTCACGGATGCTTTTACTATCTTCTTTCTTAAATCGCCAGAATATATTCTTCTCTAACATAAATTTCTTTCTAACTTTCGGATCCATTTAAAATGAATACAGAAATCTATAAAACTAATCAAAACAACAGCAATTTTTCTCTAAAAATGTAAAAATGTTACGTGTATGATTTTAATATGTCATTCATTCATAACTCTTTAATACATTCATCATTAACAAAATTTTTTGTTAAAAGCCAATAATGGATTTAAAAAAATATATAATTAAGTTTCATATATTTTAATAATGTAAAAAATATGTCGCTGACATGAGAGTTCAAGAATAATCTTCCTTAGTAGTCAAACGAAGACATAGTAATCATTTAGGGGAACTGTGAAAGAAACAAACCTTAACATGGAGTAATATTAATGATGCGACAGTTACGTCAACGATTTTTTATAAGCCGTGATGTGATAGTTATGTCAACATCTCTGAATGCTGAATTATATAATCGTTTGAGTATCAAAGATAATTATAAAAATCTATGGCTGCGTTCCGATATTTACTATCAGCACTGAATATCTATAATGTAACATAAACTATATATTTTTAGGACTGACACTGAGTGAATATCAAAATGCAGTCTATAGGAAAAGGCAAAGTAATACATTCGCGCTTTTCCTATTCCTAAGATATTATGATAAATGTTATAATAAATAAAAATAAAATTATTACATTATTGTTCGTAAGTTTCTGGATATTTAAGAATAAAGTAAAATAAAATTGTAAATTTTCCAGACATCACATCAATCCGTAACACATATTTTTCTTATTTTCTTAGTTAAAAAAGATCAAATTATTGTAGTTACGTTGTTAAAATAAAAAATTTGAAAAAAATGTGTTTTATTTTAAAGAATATTTGGAAACTTATAAACTATAATAATTTATAAAATGCAGTACATTCTTCATCCATCTTTAATGAATAAAAGAAAATACTTTGGTCCGTATTCTGAACTCTTTTTTATCGTGTTTCCTTATCTTTTATCGATGTTTCTATGAAAACGATTTATAAGCTTTCTGATCTATCTATGAGCCACTTTTAGAGGCACTTTTATATAAAAGACAATTCAGAGAACACATGAATCTAGTTCTAAGAACTATAACACTCGCCGACAATCATCCGTTTGATTTCTCCAGACAATTGATCAACCGTAATCGCTTCGTGATTTCTCAGAGAGATTCACGTGGAATCGGAAACGAAAAGCGGAAAGCGGAAAGTTCCGATCTCGAAGTCTCACGACCAGTCTCCGGAATATCCGGAATATTCGCTCGTCTCGACTCATCGTGACCGACCCAGATCATCCCGATCGGCGTTCCTCGGCCGAAGTCGAATAAATCGCGCGTCGCGCCCGTGCGCCGCGCGTGACCCAAATAGCGTGACGCGCGCGCGTGCGCGATAATCCGCGTTCCTGAGGGTGTGTTTTCATCCCGCTTCGTTTCCCCCGTTGCGCGGAGAGCTCTCTTTCGCTCTCTCTTTCTTTCTCTCATCGTCATCGTCGTCGTCGTCGTTGTCGTCGTTGTCGTCGTCGTCGTCGTCGTCGTCGTCGTCGTCATTGTCGTCGTCGTCGTCGTCGTGACTGACGCCTTGCAGTGCGAAGCACGACAGCTGGTGCCGTGACACCTGCTGCAGCGCGAGAGATCGATATCCGCTCGTCCTTGCATCGTCTCGGGGGAACGCGAAGGGTAATCGCGAGAGTTGCGATCATGTTCCCGACGGCGCGGCGTCTCCTGTGATTTCCTCGCCGATCCGTTCGGGCCGTCGTGAGTGATGTAGCGTCGCAGAGGGAAAACATCCTTGCGGGATCCAGTGAGTATCCGTCGCCTTCCGTCGCCTCCCTCCGAGCGGATTTCTTCGAAGCGTCGTACGTCCCGCGATCTGCTCCGTTTTGCGCGTCTTCATTCGGTTTTTCGTTTATTTTTCCTCGACGAAACCGCGCGCGAAATATCGCGGGCTGAAATATTTTCGACGATTAGGCGAGTGGACGAATCTCCCTAGGATCACGTTGCAAGCTGAGAAAAAACGGAAAAATGTTGCCTTGAGAAAAATGTTGTTTCCCCTCGGTGTTTTCACGTTTTTTTTTTTTTTTTCTTTCTTCCAAAAGAATTTATCATGAACGAGTACACATTTTTCGACACAATTTCTCCTCGCTTTCTCGATCTTGTGCGAACGAAAACCAAAAAATGCGGAAATAAAAGGTGGAAATCCTCGATCGCGGCGATTAAATTTGAAAATGCGTGACAGGTGTGGCGCGGATTTTTGCTGATTCCGGGCGAGGGGGTGAACGCACCGACGAACGCATCGTCAGCGAGATAATCTCGTGAAGCTCTGATACGGTTTCCCAGTTTGCGACGCGACGCGACGGCGCTTCCGCTCGTTACATTCTGTGTTTATACGCGGTCGTGATACTATTTACGTTTCTTCTGCGCACGTGAGCACAGGTACGCGGTATCGATCTCGGATGGGAAACCTCGAGGAGATCCCTTTAATGAATCAACGGGTGCAATTGTCCGCTCGTCAAAATAGACATGGGATGTCTTCCGGACGTTTTCCGGTTTAGAAAATTCTAGGCGCGTCATTTTTATTAAACGCTTAATAGCGACGAATATCGTTAAAATGATAAAAGAGCGTTAAAAATACTTGCGTTTATTTTTACGATGCTCATCATCTCGAGGTACTTACCTTTGAGCGATATGGATACGAAACGACAGTGTCACGTAGCTAACTGACGTCGACATGAATGTTGCTTTGACAAGTGCGACAGTGAATTTTATCTTGTACACCAGACAGGAGGCCATCACGTATATTAAAGGGAAACTGCGATTTGAATTTTGTTCGTAAAGTGGAGAAGAAAGAAAATATCATGACTGCGTGAGATCGTTCTTGGCTGACAACAATTTGGACTGTATTATTTGGAAGTAATCAGAGATTTGCTATTATTAAAGAAAGCTCCATGAGCTGCTGCCCTTTCATGTGAGTATATTTATTTTCATTATATGTTTGTTATTCTTTTGTAAATCCGTAATATAATTATATCTCTCTCATACTCTCAAGTATATAAATATCGTGTACATAATATTTTACTATTATATAAAAATATAATTTTTAATTTAAAGAATTTGTTATGTAAATGCTTTTTATTTATTTATTATTACGTATGTTCATTTCTTCTTCACAGTAACATAAAAAAAGTGTATGCAGAGTCATGAAAAAGAGACTGTTAAAATAAAATCTTTTATTTTTTATTTTCATTTTTACCTCTATTTCCATCGACGTAGATTAACTTTGATCTCGGTTTAATTTATTCTTTTTTTCTAATTCATAGAATTATATAGAAATAGAAATAAATAGTAAATTTAACCGAGATCAAAATTAATCTACGTTGGTAGAAATAAAGGTTAATCTTTTAAATATTATGAGAAAAAAATTGCAGAAGTAATGTTAAAAAAACTTTTACTCTAATTAATAGTTTAACGTCTAATATCGAATTCAAGAGATCGTTGTCCGATAAACAATTTTTTATACAAAAATATATATAAATATGTATAAATATATAGAAATATATAAAAAAATATATAGGAATGTATATAATTATATTTGAAATATGTTCATAGAGAATGTATATATTCACATTAGTTCTTTTCTTTTGTAAAATTTCTATTTGTTATAAAAAAATAATAATGAGTAATAATGAGAAGACAAAAAATAATTAAAAGGATAATTTTCGCACTTTTTTTTTACAAAAAGTTAAATTTGAAGATAGGAAAAAATTGTCCATATATAATTATATATTTTATGATTAGAAGTATATATACATATATATGTATATATACATATATATATATATAATATATATATATATATAATATATATAT